GCAGAGAAGAAACAAACAAACAAAAAAACTGCTCTACTTAGAGCCTGGGAGGTGAGAAGAGAACTGGCATTTGGGGCCCCTCTAGCACTACCCACAACTCCTGCCCCCACAACAGAGATCTGAGACTAGGCAACATTAGGGTTTGGTCAGGTCTTGGTGCCATTCTTAAGGCATAGTCAACAAGACTCACAAAGCCCCTGAGTTAAAGAGGGGGAAAAAACAATTAGACAGGACCCAACCACAGGCCCAACCCTAGGATAATGCAGCAATTTTAACAATCTTGCATGGGCACATTCAACATAGAGAGGCCCTAGGAAGTGCCTCAAACAGGGAGACTTGCTAAGGGGTCCATCTGCTTACCACATCTACCCACAAAAACTGTGGTAACACCCTGGAGTTAAAAAGATACAGTTGAGCTCTGTGAAAGGACCTCAGGCAGTGGGGAGATACTGCTCAGGGAGGGACTATTTGGACTAAACAAAAAGAGCCCTGAAAGCTCAGAGGGAGGAGTGGCAGCCTGCTCAGCTGGGAGGATTTCAGTCCTCTGGCACTCCCCACACTCCTGTGGGGACAGGAAAATCCCACCCCCACAACAGAAGCCCAAAGACTTAGGAGCCAGAAAAGCTCACAATACTTAGAGTGTAAACAAAGCCAGCCACCAACTCAGCCAAAGGCCCAGCTCCAGGAAGACCTACAATACTTCTAATTCATCATAACTACCACGGGCACACCAAGCATAGAGGGAACTTGGGACATCCGAAGGCTACAAAGATCAATAGACACCTTCCAGAAACACGGCCTCAACGTGTTACTAGAAGAAGCTGAACAACACAAGAGACCCCTGATTATTAACAGCTGAGACAACAGACACAATTACATACAGTGGGGGCTGGGAAAAATAGGACAACTCAGAATACTCTCTACAACTGAAGTGTCTGGAAGTCCCTCAGCTATTCCAGAAAGAACATCCAAAAATAAATAAATAAATAAATGCCAGTCAATAATAGCAACACTGTATCTCAGTGAATAGAAAGTATTAGAAAATACACAACAGGGAAAAGAAGACAAACATA